TACGGCACGTAGGCATCGCCGCGTGACCTTGATCATGCGAAACGGATTTCCCCTCGGAGAAAACCCCTTGGTCCTGAGCCACCACTGCAGGGTTCTCATGTACAGGAGGCCAAAAGTCATTACGTTGGACGCAGCTGCCATGAGACCCACCAGTCTCTGAAACTGTTTCGCAGTGAGTGACTAGCCTAGCTTTACCTAGGCTGAAGAGAAGAACCCGATATTGGTAAACTTCGCCCCCGAAAGCGAACCTCAGGGACTCCCTGTGTGGAGGACGGATGGCTACATGGAAGGACTCGCCCTTCAATCTATCGTGACAAACCAGTCCTCGGACTGAATCTGTGACACAATCTGTTTGAATGTAAGCATCCATCCTTCTTTGGAACAATGAAGTAACGGCTGTAAAACCCTGACTCTCTGCTGGGAGGAGAAACCCTTTCTGTAGCTCCTTTTTGAAGAAGTGTCAGTACTTCTTGTTCCATAACCAGAGCCTGCTCAGGGTCCACCACGTAGGGAGGACCCCTAGAATCTAGGCGGAAGAACCAAACTGAATTCTGAAACCATTTCTTTAGTGAGCAGGACCCAACAAGATATATTTGGCAGTAGTTTACACGCTGCCAGAAAATCTACTAAGGGGACCAGTCTCTCGAGACTGGCCTCTGGTATTGGTCGAACAGCCACTTCAGTGCCCTGTAACGGCGAACCGGCAGGGAACAACCAAACTGACTGTTCTACGACCCTCCTCGGAGGATCGTTCGGGAACGCTGACACCTCGGTGCCCTGATCGGCGAACCGGCAGGGAACAACCGAACTGGCAGCGCTACAACCCTCCTCAGAGAGTCGCTTCCCAGGAATGATAACATAACCAGAGCCGGACCCAACGGGATATATTTGGCAGTAGCTTCCACGCTGCCAGAAAATCTACTAAGGGTACCAGTCTCTCGAGACTGGCCTCTGGATTTAACCGAACAGTCACTTCGGTGCCCTGAAGCGGATAACCGGCAGGGAACGACCGATTTGACTGTTCCACGACCCTCCTCGGAGGATCGTTTGGGAACGCTGACACCTCGGTGCCCTGAAACGGATAACCGGCAGGGAACAACCGAACTGGCAGCGCTGCGACCCTCCTCAGAGAGTCGCTTCCCAGGAATGATAACATAACCAGAGGCGGACCCAACGAGATATATCTGGCAGTAGCTTCCACGCTGCCAGAAAATCTACTAAGGGTACCAGTCTCTCGAGACTGGCCTCTGGATTTAACCGAACAATCACTTCGGTGCCCTGAAGCGGATAACCGGCAGGGAACGACCGACTTGACTATTCCACGACCCTCCTCGGAGGATCGTTTGGGAACGCTGACACCTCGGTGCCCTGAAACGGATAACCGGCAGGGAACAACCGAACTGGCAGTGCTGCGACCCTCCTCAGAGAGTCGCTTCCCAGGAATGATAACATAACCAGAGCCTGCTCGGGGTCCACCACCGTAGGGAGGACCCCTAGAAATATGCGTGGATGAGAACCGAACTGAGTTCTGTAACCCTTTTCTATAGTGAGCAGGACCCAATGAGATATATTTGGCAGTAGCTTCCACGCTGCCAGAAAATCTACTAAGGGGACCAGTCTCTCAAGACTGGCCTCTGGTATTGGTCGAACAGCCACTTCGGTGCCCTGTAACAGCGAACCGGCAGGGAAAACCGAACTGACTGTTCTACGACCCTCCTCGGAGGATCGTTTGGGAACGCTGACACCTCGGTGCCCTGAACGGCGAACCGGCAGGGAACAACCGAACTGGCAGCGCTGCGACCCTCCTCAGAGAGTCGCCCCCCAGAGGGCGCCGAGGAGACACAGATTCTCAAACCCGTCTCTGCCCGTAGGGGGCCACCCTCAGAAGCCAGATAGCCTCGGCATCAGGACTTCTTCTTAGTCGAAGCCTACTTCGAGATAACGACTATCCTCAGATATGTCTTATCCAAAAATTACTATGGCTGAGACTACTAAAAGGAACCAGCCTCTCGAGACTGGTCTCTAGTATAGCTTGATAAGCCAATCCGGCGTCCTGAAACGGATGACCGGCAGGAAAAAACCGAACTGACCCCTCTTAAACCCCCCTTCTGCGAGTCAGACACTGAGACTAGAACTCGCTGGAGGGCACCGAAGGGAGATGTGCACCATATAATGAGGTGTTATCCATTTCCTCTTGGGAACAACCATTTATTTCCTCAGAAACAAATGACTCCTCAAAGATCAAATGAGTACATATTTAATTTTCTCAATTAAATACAGCCAAATATCAACCAGACAAGTAAACACGGTCTGGATGAAAAAGCTGAATAGTATATTAATACAGACATTTAACTCCAGGATAAGATGAATACATATTTAATTTTCTCAAAAATTAAATGCAGCCAAATATCAACCAGACAAGTAGAAACGGTCTGGATGAAAAAGCTTAAAGCTGAATAGTATATTAATATAGACATCTAACTCCAAGGAAAAGATGAGTAGCTATATTTTTTAATTTTCTCAAAAATTAAATACAGCCAAACAATCATATTATAATCATATTATAATCTCAAACAATAAAGAATACAAAATTAGAATGAGAGAAAGGGAAATTTAGTCTACTCAGTTCCCTGTGCATATTAGCTACCATTTATCTACACGTTGCCTCGGCAAACGTGAGAAGAGCCACTTTATTATGCAGATATGCAGACCCAAAATTATAATCACAGCGCGCGATCTGAGCCATAGATTCTTATTGTAAAGATGCAGACCCATAATCTACGCGCTGCCTCGGCAAACGCGAGATCTGCAAACCCGTAATCTACGCACTGCCTCGGCAAACGCGAGATCCGAGCCACGACTCTTATTCAGCCCGTAATCTACGCGCTGCCTCGGCACACGCGAGATCCGAGATCGCGTCACAGAATCTTTATTGCAGACCCGTAATCTACGCGCTGCCTCGGCAAACGCGAGATCCGAGCCAAATATTTATTGACTTTCTTCCCTCGAGAAGAAAGCCAACAAGAGCAGAGCTAAAACTCTCGATAGTGCATATGTTACACGTCGGGAATTTATGAATGAACACTGTCAGCCCCAATTTACTAGAGCTGACCGTGCATGCTCCACTCCCAAACAGGCACATGAATCGCGTGTGTCCCCACTCGTAATGAAGCGAGGGCAGGGACGAACACACGATCCGAGGCTGTTTGCTCTCCATACTCCTGTCTAATATATAAATATATATATATATGCTTGTGGACAAACAACAATAAATAGACAGAGACAAGATCACACAGAGCGCTTGCTGAAGGCACAGAAGCTAACGCGGTCCGTTGTCAGGTGTGCTTTATAGTTTCCTGGCCGATGACGTCACCCGCCTATGACGTCTCGTCTCTCCATTGGACTGATTATACACGTGCTTCACGACGCAATCACGCAGGGGCGTTCCCACAGCGTCTCGACGCAGCTCGAGTTCCCTTGAAAGGGAACAACAAATTTTCCTGCCTCGTCAAGGTTGTTTCAGATCAACACCTACAAGTGACCAATAGGTGTCACCGTGGAGACGGGTGTCGGATTGATTCGAAGCCTCGAAACAATATGGACCATTTGGTTCAACTGTTTCATTGCTTCACGAAGCCTCGATCTGCCCATCACTAGCAATAGGTCAAAACACAGGTAGGCAGTCCAAACAAATCAGGCAGGGGTCAGAGGCAAAAGAGTAATCCACGGAACAGGCAAGAAACCCAAAAACCAAGAGACATGAAACCAGGGAAAACACTTGGAAATGCAGTGCAACAACATACAAAACTTCGCAGTGAGTGAATGAGTGAACATGGTATAAATAGACAGAGACTAACAGGGTAATGAGACACAGGTGAATGCAATCAGTGATGATGAGTCCGGGCAGTGAGTTATGGGAAATGTAGTTTGTCAGGGAGTGATAATAGTTACAATTACCACATTCCCACAAGTAAATATGACTTTCCCACAAATTAATAACTCATGGCCACGACAAAACTAAGTGAACCAAACATGTCCCCTCCCGGTCACCGTAGTTTATAATTTAATGATGTATCATGAAGTTGTAAGACAAACATGCAGGTCTATTAAAGCAATATTTTTATAAAGCATAATTTACTTGATTTCAAGTGAATAATCATTTATGACTTACTGTCAGGAGATTATTTCATGATTTACTACATTTTATTGTTAAAGATAATTTACATCACATTTGTAAATCGTAAGCATACCACTTATTAATCGTTTATGAATATATAGTCATGTCTTGTAAATGATTAGTTCATCAATAACTAAAAACGTATAACTGAACATTATTGTAAAGTGTTAGCAGATAAAATTAGGATTATTTATAATATTTCAAATAAGATAGATTTTGGTATATTGCTGACCTTTAGTGTTTGTTTTTTTTCAACATGTGAATGGATCATTTTCATGGTTTCTGGACAAATGGTTTTCTTTTTAAATGTGGTTATAACCAACCCAACATGGTATTTTGCTGTTGTTGTCATTCATTTTTTTAAATATATAATTTAAATATACACTAAATATTTGGATTCAGGATCGCAGTCTTTGTAATAACGTTTAAAAATGATATCTTTCTTATGCTAGTATGTGTCTTATGTTTAAATGTTCTTAGCACATGGTGATTTTCTGCTAAAATGCAGTGTCATTATGTTACAGTGTTAACTATTTCACCTGTGTCTAGAAAGAGCCCTCAATGTGACACCACTGATGCGCTTGATCTGTTACATTTATGTTATTGGTAGATGCTCTAACATCCAAATGATTTCCTAGAAAGTTCACATAAAGTGTAAATGGCAAACGCTAGAATTTGTAGCTCTAATGTCATACAATTAATTTGAGAAGGGCTGGATTGAGGAGAGTTACTAAAGATTAGCAAGAGCCGCACAAATCTGATAGTAGTGTAGGTTATTGGCTGAAGTGTGGAGGTAATGAGCTTTGATTTCTGTTTTCTGTAGAGTTTCCAGTCTCTCTCAGCTCCTCCTGAATCTACAGACGTAAATGACAATCCCTTCAGTTCTCTCTTCTCTTTTGATGGTGTGAGAGAATATGTCCTTCAGCTGAGAGACAAACTGGAGAATTTCTGCAAAGAAGAACTCAAGAAGATCTTTGACAGAGGTAAAGTCCTGGAGATTAATCTGCTCTCAGAAATGATCCTCCATCATCTCATATCATATTAGAAATGTCTTAGGAACAGATGCAAGGATCATTTTCTCTTGACATGATAATCACACTCTTCACATCTGTTGATTTCCACAGTTATTTTAACCAACATTGTTCCCAAGACCAGGAACGACTTCCTACAATGTAAGTCACAAAGAAAACATGCAGAAAAACTCACCGAGTGTGTTCATGTTCTTCCTGTAGAAGGTGAAAGAAAACATGACAGAAAATGTTTAGAGTTGATCATATAAATGATGATTTGCACAGGATATCTGGTAAACTGTACTGACACACTGCTGATATATTGAACATGAAGAGTTCAGCTACACTGAAAAAAATAACACTGAGTAACACTTTATTTTAAGGGTCCATAATTATGCAGGTAGTGAAGCATTAACACACCCATAGTTAATGGTTAACTATACATAAATTAATGACATATTTGCCATTATTTATGCTGTAGTAAAGCTTTAACAAACCAGCCATTAATAATGAACTAACTATATATATTAAGGGCATATTAGCATTATTTACAATTCATAAAACATTTGAAGGATAAATAAGCAGAAATAAGCCAATAATTAATGGTTAATTAATTATTGGTTAACATTAAGTTGAATGTACATTTGTGATGTCCGTGTACATTCGGATAATTTGTTTTCTCGTTTTTGTCTTCGAAATAGAAATGGAAAAATGAATAAACCGTTCATTTTTCACATATTCGACCCTTCTCATGAACATAAACAAATCTAGCTAAATATTTTTATTTTAATCACACGTTGTTCTCATCTGCCAAATGGAAACACAATTAAACCAAAATGGATAAACAGCTTGAATATTTAATCTCTACATGGGCTGGAATAAAATTTCCCTTTCCGCTGATTGCTCAACCAAAGATCAAGCTGTGCTGTCATCAGTTCTTATTCAGCTCCGTGGAACAGAATAATAGTCATCTGATACAGTTGTACGGATTATTATAGAGTCAAACAGCGACCCTAATAAATGGCTTGACACAAACCGTACCGGGGCAGAGCCTAGACAGGGCTTTCTTCTGTACACATACATTTGCATGATGTGAAATTAGTTTATCGTATTAAATATTAATTTACGTTGCATCTGCTCTCACAACTACCCCTAGCCTACATATTTTACACTTTCTGACAGTAATAGATCTCTGGCCTTATTGTTTAAAGTGTTATTTGATCGTCTACCCTTAAATCGATTCTGCTCTGCACTTGACTACAATGTAGCTTATGCATTCTCTCCGTGCTGGCCAGTGTGTCACGCAGCTTTGGCACACATATTTTGAGAGATGGTCAGCTAAATAAGTAGGCTAAAAAGTGTGGCAAATATGTAGGCTAGGGGTAGTTATGAGAGCAGATGTCAAGTAAATTAATGGGTGGGGTGGGGTGGGGTGGGGCGGGGGGGGACAATGAACATAACATTTCTCAAGAGCAATTTTTGAAGGGGACACCAATAATACAGGCAAAATTGTACTTGTAAGGATATGTGTACACAGAGGAAAGCCTTACTACTATTATTAGTGTAGCATGGATACCGTGCTATTATCCTTCTTTTTAAAGTTTCTCTCTGACTAAATTGACCAAAATATTCTTCATTGGTCTGCGATATTGACCAAAAATTATTTGTATATTTGCGGGAATTTTATCGATAATGATAATTTTGTGGAGTGTTTAATTGTGCTGGTACCTTGGCATGTTTAGGACAGCTGACTCTTAAAGTTCTTCATATTCTTTATATTCTGAGTGGCGGTCAGTTCACAGCAGTGACAGAAATAACTTTTTCCAATAAGTTTCAATTGATTTTGACCTTTTATTGGCATTTTTACCTTTATAAATTTAATTTAAACCTAATTATATGCATGCATCATTTTGTGTCGATTTCATACATTTTATCAAATTATTATAACAATAAGACACAATAGGGCTGTTACTGTTACTGGTGGTGAATGGCAGGAATCACGAGGAGACGAGGAATTCAAATAAACAATACTATAAATCAAAACAACAAACAGGTACAGGCAGACAGAGCGGATGCAAACACCAGTTAACATAGACGAGAACCGACAAGGAGTGAGGGAGAACACAGGGTTTACATACACAGAGAATGGATCATGGGAACAAGACACAGCTGGGGCAAATTAACTAGAAACAGGTGAAGGAACTGAACACAAACGAGGAGCGGGAAAACTGAGATACAGGACTGAACCAAAACACAATGCAGGGGGAAACACAGGACACACATGTAACATAACGCCCCCTCCAAAAAGGCGCGTCCTCGCGCCGTATAACTTCAATAGGGGTGGGGGGGCGGGCGCCCTGGAGGCTGACGAGGGCGTGGCCTACCCTGAGCAGGAAGCCTCCAGGGCGGAGCAGGCTGGTCAGGGGGCCATGGCGGAGTAGGAGACCACCCCTCGGGCGGTCCTGGCGGAGAATCCCCTTCGGGCGGCCATGGCGGAGAATCCCCTTCGGGCGGCCATGGCGGAGAATCCCCTTCGGGCGGCCATGGCGGAGAATCCCCTTCGGGCGGCTATGGCGGAGAATCCCCTTCGGGCGGCCATGGCGGAGACGCACCTTCGGGCGGCCATGGCGGAGACGCACCTTCGGGCGGCCATGGCGGGGACGCACCTTCGGGCGGCCATGGCGGGGACGCACCTTCGGGCGGCCATGGCGGAGACGCACCTTCGGGCGGCCATGGCGGAGACGCACCTTCGGGCGGCCATGGCGGAGACGCACCTTCGGGCGGCCATGGCGGAGACGCACCTTCGGGTGGCCTATATCCCCCCCCCAAAACTTTCTTGGGGGGAATCACAGGCTCTGGGACAGGCTCTGGGACGTGGACAGTCTCTGGGTGGGCAGAAGGGACGTGGAAAGTCTCTGGGTGGGCAGAAGGGACGTGGAAAGTCTCTGGCTGGGCTAGCGGTGAAGGCCCGGCTATGCTGGATGGAACCAGCGGTGAAGGCTCAGAAGGACTGGACGGGACCAGCGGAGAAGGCTCTGAAGGGCTGGACGGGACCAGCGGAGAAGGCTCTGAAGGGCTGGACGGGACCAGCGGAGAAGGCTCTGGCTCGGCCGGCGTGACGCGAAGCTCCGGCCCGGCAGGCGTGACGCGAAACTCTGGCTCGGCAGGCGTGCAGGTAAGCTCAGGCTCGGCAGGCGTGCAGGTAAGCTCAGGCTCGGCAGGCGTGCAGGTAAGCTCAGGCTCGGCAGGCGTGCAGGTAAGCTCAGGCTCGGCAGGCGTGCAGGGAAGCTCAGGCTCGGCAGGCGTGCAGGGAAGCTCAGGCTCGGCAGGCGTGCAGGGAAGCTCAGGCTCGGCAGGCGTGCAGGGAAGCTCAGGCTCGGCAGGCGTGCAGGGAAGCTCAGGCTCGGCAGGCGTGCAGGGAAGCTCAGGCTCGGCAGGCGTGCAGGGAAGCTCAGGCTCGGCAGGCGTGCAGGGAAGCTCAGGCTCGGCAGGGCTGCAGGGAAGCTCAGGCTCGGCAGGGCTGCAGGGAAGCTCAGGCTCGGCAGGGCTGCAGGGAAGCTCAGGATCGGCAGTGCTGGACGGGACCAGCGGAGAAGGTTCGGCTGGGCTGGACTGAACCAGCAGTGAGGGCTCGGCTGGGCTGGACGGAACCAGCGGTGAGGGCTCGGCTGGGCTGGACGGAACCAGCGGTGAGGGCTCGGCTGGGCTGGACGGAACCAGCGGTGAGGGCTTGGCTGGGCTGGACGGAACCAGCGGTGAGGGCTCGGCTGGGCTGGACGGAACCAGCGGTGAGGGCTCGGCTGGGCTGGACGGAACCAGCGGTGAAGGGGGCTTTGTGCTGGACGGGACCAGCGGCGAAGGATCAGCGGGCTTTGCTGGATCCTGGGTGAGGATGGACGACGTGGCGAAGATGGCTGGAGCCATCACTGGAGTGACGGTGATGCGGAGACCTCTCTCAAACATGATCCTGACGAGGTAGTCAGTCAGGTCATGGCCAGCCAAGTCCATCTCTGTTTTGGTCGGTTCTTCTGTTACTGGTGGTGTATGGCAGGAATCACGAGGAGACGAGGAATTCAAATAAACAATACTATAAATCAAAACAACAAACAGGTACAGGCAGACAGAGCGGATGCAAACACCAGTTAACATAGACGAGAACCGACAAGGAGTGAGGGAGAACACAGGGTTTACATACACAGAGAATGGATCATGGGAACAAGACACAGCTGGGGCAAATTAACTAGAAACAGGTGAAGGATCTGAACACAAACGAGGAGCGGGAAAACTGAGATACAGGACTGAACCAAAACACAATGCAGGGGGAAACACAGGACACACATGTAACAGTTACCAGCTGCATTTGAAATGACATTTAGATGCTTTTACACAGACGTAAATAATTTTTGATGTTTTAAACATAAAACATTGAATATTGATATTTGAAATGATTTAAAACATGAAAAGATTCTTGAAATGTGAAATTAAAACCTTAAACTGTCAGTTGGTGGCAGCAAATCACTGTTAATGAGTGAGTCATTGAGATTCAACTGATTCGTTCAAAAAAGCTGATTAATACAGTAAGGAAAAACCTCTGCGTGTTTCTCAGAGATGCAAATACAGTGCTGTGGCTTAGTCTTCAACTATTTTCGTTGGCGAAATAGAGTTAAAACAGACTATATGGTGTCTAAAATGTAAGTCATTTAATATTACCTTCTTGTTTATTAAACTTCACATTTATTATCATGCTAATATCTGGAGAAAAACTGCACTCTTCGTGTGATATTATTATATTAGAATAACTATATTAAATGATATAAACTGACTAAAGTGAAAAGCGTGAAAATCTAAATGCGCACCCGCACTATAGTCTAATCTACAAGACTACAACACATAGTGTATGCGTACACTCTATGGTTGTGTGTGTGAGGGATATACTATGGTATTAAACAAGCTAGGTAAACGCATAGACTGTAAAACAAGGGTAAACACTATAATCGCTAACATAGCGGACTACACTGGTGACAAAAGTACATTGGTTATCATCATACATTTTTTTTGTCATAATTTATTAATGACTCAGCATCATCTGTATGTCCCTGTAAAGGCAATTCTAAAAAAAAAATCTAAACACATTATAAATGTTGGAAATGTATTGCTAAAAC